CCCCAAAACCCCAAAACCCCAAAACCCCTAGAGGCAGAAAATATTATGATACTGAAAGTAATTTTTGAAATTATATTTTAGATTTATCGAAGATATTGATTTGTTTCATTGAATAACCTCATCTTTAAGAGCTTGAGGAATTAGATGTTAGAGATCAGCTCTCTTTAAATAGTACTCTCTAAGATATCTCAACTCAACATCATGCTCATTAATATTGTTTGCCTTTTGCAAAGCACCACCACATTTAGTTTGAGGAATGATGTTTGCTGGCTTGGAGTTTGGTGTTAATTCCTTGTGAATTGTTCCATCTTCTTGTCTTACCCAAGTTTCAATTTTGTATGGATTAAGTGTGACTTCAAAAACTCTTGCACCTCTTTGCATATTATCTGGACCATAGCATGCATATCCAGTCTTTCTTCCATATGCAAGGTTAATACCATCATAATTTCCATAGTAGTCATTATTATGATCATGGCCAACGGTAACCCATTCAACAGTTTTTTGTTCTTTTAAGGCTCCAAAGAGTCCTGTATTTACAGCCCAGCAACAAATGTCCTCTTATCTCTTTCCATAGAATTAATCATTATTGTAGAGGTTAATATATTCAGAAAGAGGAATATGAACAAATAGGAATCCTTTACCCTTGGTTGGATCTGACTCAGGAATGGCCTTGTTTTATTGTCTAAACCATTCAATTTAGTCTGGTCTAACACAATCATACCCACCTACTCCCATACAATCTTAATCTTCTCCAGAATCGATAAACCAGAGACGGAAGGAGATATTTTAACCAGATTAATCATAAACTGGGAGCATATAATTGAAGGCATGAGATATGTTTGGAGCATTAGGCTTTGTCATACTGAGATTATAGGTTCTATCAAGTTCAGAGACCTATTCTCTATTGAGGTCACCTTGAGTATCATGGTTGCCAGCAGTTAAAGCCCAGTTCATGTTGTGCTCATATAAAGGTTTGACAAAGGTTTTGAATTGCTCAGCGTACCAGCCATCAGTTATTCCATCCCACATATATCCTGATACCACATCACCAGTAACAACAGCAAAATCTGGCTTCTCTAATTCCAAAACTTTTCTCATTACGTTTTAGGAACCCAAATCTTGCTCTGGGCTTTCACCAAAATGAATATCGGTAAATTGGACAAATTTAAATTTGCCTTGTGCATTGATTTTAAGTTTCTTGTCAGTATTTGCTAGAGCAAATGCTGAGATAGTTGCTATAACAGTGAGCTTGAGGATATTGGATTTCATTATTAATTTTATAATGTTACCAGAACGAATCCAAAATGATTTGGTATACTTCATACTGATGGGGTTTTGGGGTTTTGGGGTTAACATGAGCTTGATTC